ATGACATGATATAATGACATGATATAATCATATAATGATTTTACATCATGATATATTCTTCTTTTCAAAGAAGGAGAGAATACTGAAATACACCAGTAGGTGCTCAATAGATGATTTGGAAGATGGCAAAATGAATCCGGATAATACTGGGAACAAAATGAAAGAAATGCCATTGAACACACATTTGTCTAAAAGTTCTAGGAAATTTCTAAACTAGGCTCTAATAAAAACATTTATCACACATCACTCAAAATGTGGACAGTCCAGCATAAGATAAAAAGTACAATGTTCTGAAATGTAATAAGGCGTTTCCTTATTTATTTCATTGGTGTTACTATGTTTCTAGGGACTTTGGAGAGAAATTGTAGCAGCCTAATGTTCAATATGGCTTAAGGTTCTGGAAGTCCAGCTCCAGCAGTGGTGGGTTCCCAGTGTCACATCAGAGCCAGGCCAGACTTGAGGATTAGGGCGAGGTGCCCGGCCAATGGCAGCCAACGGGGCACAGCTGCAGGGGATGCTGTTGGGTGGGGAAGTCAGGGCTTGTTTTTTTGTGTGTGTGAGGAAAGTCAGCCCTGAACTAACATCTGTTGCCAATCCTCCTTTTTTTGCTGAGGAAGATTGGCCCTGGGCTAACATGCGTGCCCATCTTCCTCTGCGTTATATGGGATGCTGCCACAGCATGGCTTGATAAGCGGTGCCTAGGTCCACACCCGGGATCCGAACCTGCAAACCCAGGCCACCAAAGCGGAGCTCGAACTTAACTGCTACGCCACCTGGCCAGCCCCAGAGCTTGTTTCTTTACTGGCCAAGTCCTCCGTGACATTTCAGGGCAGCCCTGAGTGTGTTTTAGGATAATTATTTCTCTCTCCTATTGAGGACAAGACCAAGCTAATATTTATCTTTTTTATTCTCAGGGCATGTCACAAAGTAGATTCTAGATAAATCTGTTGAATGAATAAGTGTAGTTTATCCCCATCCAGGTTTATTATCCCCACTATAATACTCTTAGTAAGTATAATAGTGCTACATTGGTCAGGGTTCCCAAATATATTTAAATTATTTTTTGCCCAGATTTTTTTCAATCTTATCTAATTGTTTTGCATCCTAAGCTTACGGGCCACTGTTAATTTGCATTGTTGTTTCAAATCAAATGCTATATGCCCTATCTTGCTTTTACTCAGTTATTCACTGCTAACGTCTAAATCGGAGAAGTGAAAAGGACAATTGTTTAGTGCTTTTTAAAGTCCCTGACCAAGATCAGTAGGGAAATCCCATTAGCTCCATTCATTGCATTTCTCATAAATCTAAAAGGAAAGCAAGTGTCCAAAGCGTTATTCTTTAATAGTTCTTATTTGTAAAACCTTGACAGGGCTTTATTCTAAATTGCTTCCAAATTACGGAAAGAATACTGAGAAAATATGATGGGTAGTGAATCGTGCTAGTTTCAGTTATCGAATAAATAACCAGAACAGTCAAAAGGGGACTAATCTGAAAGCAAATAGTATGATGGGCCATGATGAGGCAAAAAGAACAGAGCTGTGGCATTCTTAAACTACTATCTGGCTCAATCCTCTTTAAGTGGGCAAGTTGAAGAGGCTTTTATTCAGCACCCTAAAACTTATTCAAAAGGAGCAGTATTTGAATATTAATTTTTCATATAGTTAAAAAAACCCCACCAAAACCCTTTTGTAGCCAAAAAGAGATGTTTAACAAAATAATGGGTAATCCTCTGGCTAAACATGAGGGCGTGGGGCACCCCGTGGGTGGGAGGTTGGCTGTAGCCTAGTGCAGCCACTCGGCAGCTTTCGGGCATCCACCTGCGAAGCTGCCTTGTGGCTGGAGTAACTTACTAAAGTTGTCATTATGGTTTGAAATTTAGGCAAGAGGTGTAGAAATAAGGAATTCATTAACAAAAATGAACATGGTGGTTTCTAGTACCTTATATTATCCAAAAAACAATAATGTAGAATTGCCATATAGGATAATCAAGGCAAGTGACACAACAGAAAGGATCATCTATAGTTCAAATTGTGCTTTTGTGAAATGTGAACCTATTTCCTCACTTTCTAAACAGACCCCTGGCCGATTGCCGTTTTGTTTATTAAGTCCTGGATTTTCAACGCGAACTCTAAGAGGCTTTTATTTTGTTTTCCTAAGAAGGTGTATTTGAAAAGTACAAGCTGAATAAATCAGATCCCACTACTTATCTTCAGCAAGATGCTTTAAAAAAGGTATTTGAGCATTCTCTGTGGTTTAAAAGACAAAACCCAGTCCTGCTGGCTTTGTGTTGTGCTTTTCTTACAGACTGCAGTGCCTTCTGTCTGTTTTAGGGTGTGGCACCTGCCATCCGGGAGGAGAAGCTGGCATGTGTCGCCTTTTATAGCAGATTGATTTCATTGTGCTGAGGGCCTCTACTTCATAGCCTCTTGGTTCCAATCTTCTAGTTGACTTGCAGAAGCAAATGGAATTAAAAGAGATTTCAACTTATATCCTTACTTTTTTTTTTTTAGTTTCATGATTTATCCACATAAAAAAATATTTTTAAGAAACGGGCCAGAGCTGAACTTGGTGACTCATTTTCCCTTTTAGGATTAACTGTGAATATAAGCCACCAAATATGGCTACACTTGTATGAATTGACTTTGATATATTTTACCAGTGAGAAAAAATATACTTTTATGATTGTATGTATATATTTAGTTTGACTATAAGTGTCTAAAAGCACAAATATGTAATTGGTTTTAGAATACATGTATATACACACATACACAAAACAGACGTATTTATATTTGCATATGAAAAACTTTAAAAATTCAACTTATGTGCTGTAATGCATATAATTAGTATGGGTTTGAATATATAAAGGGAGAAAATGTCAAAAAGGTACACTAACAAAGATGTAGTATTCTCTTGGCAAAAACTGATGAATGATTTGGCATGAATTCATCTTACAGTTCTGTTATTCTCTCTTACACATGATGCTATAACCCGTTTCTCAGTTGTTTGCATAGAATTCAATTTGTTGTTTCTACACTCTATAAGGACTCCTGGGTGATTCCCCTGATTTCTCCTTCCCCCCAGTTAGTCCCCAGTTTTTCCCATCTATCCTTTTCTATTTAGTCATGTAACATACCTGCATTTGGTCAAGCAAACAAAAATAACCACTGCAGTTGAAATCAACTAAAAGAGCCTTCCTGCAAAGCTTAAGAATGAAATTATTTTAGAAAACTACATTCTACCAAAATCATACATATTATTTCAGCTACAGTGACCTCTTGAAAGCTCTGGTTTCAAAGCCTTTCTCTGGATGAAAACTGAGTCCACACTAGTACAACTGAGCCATTGCTTAGGTTAAGAAGTCCTGCTAGTAAAGATAATTCAAAATGTTCCTAGGTGATGAATCTCCAATAATAAAAACACTTAAAACATCATAATGTGATAAAACAATAGTCTTTTGAAAAGAACAAAGTATGAAACATTTCTGCTCTAGGATTAGATTTGACTGATATTATTGAGCTTATGTTTATTAAATATAGCATGTATTTGTTTTAGTTTTGTTTCACATTGCTTAGATATGAACTCACATCAAGAGGGTTAATTGTGAGCATTAACTTCTGAAATATGATGAAAGGTGTCATACGGATTTATGAAGATATGAGATAAACCTTAGCTGTCGCTATTATGGCACCAAGAGTTCCATCTCCATGTGCAAGTGCTTGGGAGCATAACACACCGCTCTACATACTTGAGGACTTCCCTTTAGCCAGAGAACAGACATGTGCATTGTATGCTCCTTTGGGAATACTTTGAGTTTTCATTGATAAGCCTACACACACATAAAGTGCCTTTAAAAAGTTATATCAACATCATTTTTGGGGCAGGTGCAATCGTACGCATGTATTGAGTACCTGCTGTGTACAGGGCACAGCGCGCCTTGAAGGCGGCTGGCTAACCTTCTCTTAAACTCTCCCTTAATTTTGCAGTTTGAAGAAGTTGTGGGAATTACGAGGACGGCCCGCCATCAAGGCAGCGAGGCTCCCATTCCGAAAAATTACATAACTCCTGGGCGAGGCAGCGATCTTCTGCCCAGATCGCCCAAATATTTTCTTTCTCCGGCGGCTCCTCGGAACCTTCGAGGCCGACCGGCAACTTTGTTCCCCAGCCCTTCTCCCTCTTTTGTCTGCTCGTCAGACTCGTTTTCCACCTCTGCATCGTGGCTTTCCGACGTGAAAACAAACACGCGAACGCCGGGTTGGCAAGGAGACGCAGGCACGAGGGGAAG